TATATATATAATTTTATAGTTATCAGTCACGTCACGTGCCATTTATATTGTCAAGTTAAGAATTGAATTATGGAAAGTAGAGTTAAATCGAGATGCATTACTCACCCTCGTGGCGCCCTTGCCTCGCCCCCTCCCGCGTTCTCGGAACGCCCCTTCGCCGGTCTGCAGGTGGTACAGGTGCTGAAAACGAAAAGGGAGCTGTTAAACGCGTGGGTGGATTACAATTTATGGTCGGCGGGATCGCCGTTTATCGCCGCATCGCGTTCGGCTATCGTAAAATCAAGGCAACCGTATCGCCTCAATTGACCTCGTTAAGTTCAATAGAACCGGTAATAAAAGTATAACTTCCATGGCCGGAGCGTGTTAGATTAGATTCTGGACGCGCGGTGTATATAAAGTGTTTCCAACTATTCCAGAATAGAAAGGCACAGATGCACTGAATTCGGCTGACACAGATCGTGACCTAATCTCGCCACTTATCCGCTCACGTTTTTTTCTTTTTTTTTCAATTCGATTTCTTTATCCTTTTCAGTATTAATTATTTATAACTAATAATATATTCTGCGCAAATAACGTTCCTGAGAAATTTAATTTATTATACTTTAATCATGTTTTGTATGGCACGTTAATAAAATAATGAAAACACGACGTATATAAATATGAAGCTTTGTTATTATTTTTTTTTTTATTGTTATGTAATATCATTGTTCAGAAGAAATGTTAAGCTTTTAAATATTTTTCCATTTACAACATCCTATAAAATAGAGAAGACATCTTCATTGTGCGTCGATAACATTACTGCTTTACCCACAAACTTTTTTTATAAATTGTGGTAACTTAACAAAATTTACAGAAACAAAAAACATATATACGATATTTTCGTGTTGCAATAAAAATCATGCAACTTTATAAAAAATTATTGCCCTTTAATAATAAAAAATATTTTATACGAATTATATAAAATATCTGCAGAAAACTGCATTATCTTCAGAAAGTTAGTGCTTACCGACATAGGATACGTTCCTTCGAGAACATATGGTAACTGCAAATAAACGCTCATCATCTTTATCGACGAGTGTGACGAAAAAGAAAAACAATAAAATTATAGAAAGATAGAATCATGCATACTAATTGCACGACTGCGTGATTAATAGCTCATTAAATATCAAAAATAAAAATTGCGCAAATATATTTTTAGAATTGTTTTTACAGAATAAATAATTATGAAATTAAAATTTAGATAATACAAGAAATACAAACAATGTAATATAAAAATTGAAATGTATACACAATATTTAAAATTAATTAAGCAGTAATCAAGTAATAAAACAAATAACTAATATAAGTAAGGTTAAGAAACTACTGACTAGAAGAACATTAAATAGCTAGCACAGGAAACTGATGGGTTGTAAAAAACTTTTCAACAGACATCGAACGCTTGAAGAAATAGCGAATTTGGTTTCTGGTACATTTCTAATTAGGAAATCACAGAAACTTTCCCCAGCGATATGGACATTTGTTCACAATTTATTTGATAACAATACTAATTAAGTTTGAAATAAATTAAGAAATTTATTATATCTTATTTACGGAAGCTTTTCAACTTTAGACCGCAACTGATTAATTATCTAGATTAGAATCGTAATTATTGCCGTTGCTTTTTTACTCATGTTTTTATCGATACGCAGCTCTGATCATTGCATAATTGTATACCGTCATTTTGCACCATTTTGCGGAGAAGCAATGAAAACAGTTTATTAATATCCGACGACTTTTCCGCACTCAAAGAGGCAGGCGTAATCTGCCATGCGATGAGGTCAAGATTGGTTTGCGAGGGTGAGGGTGAGGGTGACGAGTGAACATCGTGATTCAAAGGCAGGCGCGGAAAAACGTCCCCCTTTCGCGGCACAAGCACGTATACATACACGCACACACGCGTGGGCGATTATGGTCTAATTCCCTTATATGCGCATTCCTAGCAACCTGACTGCCTTACCTACCAACCTACCTGCCTCTTCGCAAGGCAACGAGGAAAAAATGCTCGGGTGCATCATAAGTACACGCTCGAAAGATAGGGGCGGCGGAGGCCCTCCACGATTCCACCCCATCCCGCCTCTAGCGAAGAAAATCTATGTGTATATATCTGTGTTCCCTCTCGGGCCTTTTCTCCCGCCCGCGCAGCTTTCTCTCGTGCGGGAGGAAAACTGAGAGAGACAGACAGAGAGAACGCGCGCGCGCGCGCGAGAGAGAGAGAGAGAGAGAGAGAGAGTCGGGCAGGGTGAAAAGGAGGCAAGGCAAATGTCAATATCGACGATGCATCGTTGAGAGGGCGGGAATGAGAGCGTAATTAATCGTCGAAGCCAAGAAATCTTTTCCCTCTTTCTCTTCCTCGTTCGAACAATTCACCGGCATCTTTCGCTCGCTTTTCTTTTGACGTGCATCTCCAACACGGGAGATCGCACACATATAGAGGAATCAGTAAGGAAGAGACGATTTAAGCCCTGATCTCTCATTTACTCCTCTAGTCTTTCTTATTTGTCCCACCAAATTATCGTTGTTATAACAGAACAGGAGTTGTTCCGAATGCCTCCGTGGCTCGCAATGTAAACAGCTCCTTTAAGAAACAGCCCCTATAAGTTACGCTGCATCGAGAAAGCAAGGAGGCAGCCTGGTGGCAGCCGGTGCTTATATTTATTTAAGTTTCAACGACATCAAGCATTTGCCCTCGAGAGAAAACGTTGTGAACGTCAGCCCGCTTCTTAGCGCGGCACACATCTGCTATGCGCATCTTCTGAAAATCACGAGACTCCCAATTTGCGGTAATTTAAAG